AGCAATGGTAATAGACATGCATTCAAATTAATCGTAAAATATTATAACATGGACATGTTATATTAACTGATTTGTATTAACATGTTATCTACCTATATATAATTATAAATGGAGACATCTTTGTATCGATTAAAACTAACTTTAATGTTGATTTGTGTAGGTGCACCAAATAAGCTATGCAATATTCCGTGTACGGGTCAATTTGATGATTTTGCATGTTTGAACTCTTGTGTCTCATTTGGCCACAAAGATGGAAAATGTATATCTCCTACTCCTGATGGTCTAAAATATTGTTGTTGCAAACGTTAATACAAATCATCTCTCTAAAAATTATTGGTGATTCCAGCGTTGCAACTAGCTATCTTTGTAACTCTTAAACTAATCTAAATTAATAGCTATCTCTCTATTAAGATTAGCGTTGCAACTAGACGTACGTTTTTTTTTTGTGGTTAAATGGACGAACCTTTTGTTTTCGTTACTCAAAGGTACTTTAATAAAATAAACAATTAAGTCATTAATAAAATGGGTTAATTTGGTGAATAACCAAAAAAAAAATTATAATTCAAAACATAAGAAAAATGGTATGTGTGGCAATGTTGTAAACTGATACGTACGTGGATGGTTACGACTCGAACTCCTCCCACGTAAGAACTAAGAAGAAGCCTGAGAGTGAGAAGAAAAAACATATCTATGCAGGAACAAGAGCAATAACACAATGTATCTCAAAATTTCCAATCTATAAAAGGAGTATCCATAAGTTTTTTAGTAGCTAAACTTTTTCGTTACCGATTTTACTATTACCACTATTCTTTTTTTTTTTTATCCATTTTCATACATTCAATTTTTAAGTTGTATCCATATGGTTTGATAATAATTTTAACAACGATATCAACCTTGGTTTGATATCGCTATAGCTGAAACACTGTAAATCAGTTTTGAGTTGGATTATGGTTTACTTACATGTATATCATTGTAAATGGTTTAGTTTATAATTAAGAAATTAACAAGAAATTTGATATTTAGATATTTTCTCTCAATATTCAACTTCTATTATTCTTCAAAAAGAACATCCGCAAGATTCTACCTTTACTGTAAAATGAAAAATCTAACAACCAAGTAGATGTGTAAATTATATACATAAATAAAGTGACGAATCACTTATCAATTTGTGCGAATATCAAAACTCAGATTAGTGACTTAAAGTTTATTATTATTTAGAGCATGGTACTTAATTAAGCAGATTAACACCAAATTTATGGGCCTTTAGCGGGCTTTGTTTAGTAACCCATCTTTTAGGGTTAAATTAATTCATAACGGACAATCTTTTTTATTTTGAAATGTCCGGCGTTCCCTCCGACACAGTAACGACAATCCTCCTCTCTCAGAAAAATCCCCACAATCACTCTCCCTCTCTCTCTAGGGTTTCTCATCGTCTTCCCGATACCAAATTCCTCAGAAATTTAGGGTTTCGTTTTCTTGCTGTTCCCTAATTCAGAATGAAACCAGGCCAGAAATCAAAGAAGTCTTCTTGTGCATCCACTAAGGTACGACTCTTATCAATCACTCGCTCACCAGAGGCAAATCGGAGAAATTTCTCAATGGATTTCGA